TGGTAACCAGCTCGTGAATTAAAGAAATTCGGGGGTAGGAGTTACGGCTTACAGCATGGCAAGGTAACCAGCTCGAGGATTGATGAAATTCGGGTGGAGGAGTTCGGGGTTAGAGCGTGGTAGAGTGACCAGCTTGATGGTTAAGGAAATTGGGCTATTGAGTTTGGGGTTACGGCGTGGCAGGGTAACCAGCTCGAGGATTGATGAAATTCGGGTGGAGGAGTCCGGGGTTAGAGCGTGGTAGGGTGACCAGCTTGATGGTTAAGGAAATTGGGCTATTGAGTTTGGGGTTACGGCGTGGCAGGGTAACCAGCTCGAGGATTGATAAAATTCGGGTGGAGGAGTTCGGGGTTAGAGCGTGGCAGGTTGACCAGCTCGATGGTTAAGGAAATTGGGGTTAAGAGTTTGGGGTTACGTTGTGGCAGGGTAAGCAGTTCGAGGATTGATGAAATTCGGGAGTAGGAGTTACGGGTTACAGCGTGGCAGGGTAACGGGTTCGAGGGTTGATGAATTTCAGTGTACGAGTTCAAGGTTAGAGCGTGGCTGGGAATCCAGCTCGATGGTTGATGAAATTGGGGTATAGGAGTTACGGGTTACAGCGCGGTAGGGTAACCAGCTCGAGGGATGATGAAATTCGAGAATAGGAGTTACGGGTTACAGCGTGGCAGGTTACCAGCTCGGAAATTGATGAAATTCGGGTGTAGGAGTTCTGGGATAGAACGAGGCAGAGTAACCAGCTCGAGGATTAATGAAATTTGGGTGTAGGGGTTACGGGTTACCGCGTGGCAGGGTAACCAGCTCGAGAATTAATGAAATTAGGGTGTAGGAGTTACAGGTTACAGCGTGACAAGGTAATTAGCTCGAGGATTTATGAACTTCGGGTGTAGGAATTCGGGGCTAGAGAGTAGCAGGGTAACCAGCTCGAGGATTAATTAAATTCGGGTATAGGAGTTACGAGTTTCAGCGTCGTAGGGTAACGAGCGCGATGGTTAAGAAATTTGGGGTTAAGAGTTCGGGGTTATAGCGTAGCATGGTAACCAGCTCGAGGAGTGATGAAATCGGGGTGTAGGAGTCACGGGTTACATAGTGGCAGGGTAACCAGCGACAGGATGGATGATATTCGCGTGTAGGAGTTCGGGTATAGAGCGAGGCAGTGTTACGAGCTCGATGGTTAAGGAAATTGGGTTTAAGAGTGTGGTATTACGGCGTGGCAGGGTAACCAGCTCGAGGATTGTTGAAATTCGGTTGTAGGAATTCGGTAGCAGTCTTCAAAATTGTTTTTCTTCCGTGATTATTGATTTCGATTTTAATCTAATTATTAATTTTGGTTCCGATTTGAGTGAAAATTTGTGTAGTAGTGTAGAGTAGTGAGAAGTAACTACTAGAACAAATTTGATCGTCATCAGTTTCCTTTGTCACGGAAAACGGAGAATTAATCGGTAAACTTAAGTATCTATTTTAATTTTTGACTTCCTGTAAGTTTTGGATTGAGATTTTTGATCTGAAGATTAAGCGCGGTGTGATCGGTGGCTACGTAGTTACGTTCAAGTTAACGGGCTGCGAGTTAGAGTCCGAAACCGGTGAAAATTCGCTTTGAAGAGAGACGGTGAATTCAGGTTTAGTTAAACATATGTTCGAAGATCTAGAGATTAGATTAGACTTGATATTATACGTGTCTTATTTTGCAAGCGATTTGAGGGTTATCCTCGCAATTAATTACATTGGTTAACGAAGTGCTTCTTTCAAAGGTTAATACGTTCAATGACTTGTAAGAAATAGTCGTTGCAATTTCCTGGATGGTCCGATTCTAGCTTATTAATTTCAAAGGATTTTCGAGAGCTTTCACTGATGTATCTGTGCTTGTTACTGTTGTTTTGTAGACTGGAGAAGAATGGGTGCGTATGGATTAGGCCATTTGTTTGTGGCCTCCTTGTCTTTGCCCATCCCTGTAACTTGTGACAAAACTCGAAATGAGGTATGAAAAGGAATAAGATGCCTTTAATTAAGGGTGTTGTCAAGCATTGAGTAGCCAACTGAAGTCGATCATTGACCAATTGATTTCGAAACCAAGTTACACGCGCATCCGCTCAGACATCTATGCGGCATGGTGTCCGAAGCCAGACTCTCTATGTCAGTAACATCTGCCTAAGATACTTGGTGAACTTAAACCCTTGGATATACGAGGGTAGATTGATAAGTTTCCGGCCTGACCAAGAGATGGAGCCACTCGGCCTACCTTGAGGTGGCGTTCTATAGTACCATCCTTACATAGCTTGTAGCTATAGTTTCAGCCCGATCGCCATGTTAGTTTAGGTTTGAAAGCACACTGAACAAGACGCCTCTGTATTTTTCTTAAAAATGGAAATGCTGGAAAATCGAGCTGTCATCAAATACTTCTATTTGAAGAGGTTAAAGCCGAAGGAAATCAAAGAAGAGATGGACTCAACACTGGGGACATCCTCCCCATCATATTCAACCATTAAGCAGTGGGTTTCCGAGGCTAAAAAGGGTAGCGTGAGCACCTCTGATGAGCCTCGCTCAGGACGCCCTGTTGAGGTTAGAACTCCAGATATGATCGAAAAAATCCATCAAATAGTGCTGGAAGACCGCAGATTAAAAGTGCGTGAGATAGCTGAGACCTGTAAGATGTCATATGAACGTGTGCAAAATATTTTGCACCAACATTTGCATATGGAAAAGCTCTGTGCAAGATGGGTGCCGCGTTTGCTAACATTCGACCAAAAATTGATTCGAAAAAACATTTCTACCGCCAATTTGGCGTTGTATAAGCGTAATCCAAGCGAATTTTTGCGTCGATTCGTAACCGTTGACGAAACTTGGTTCCACCACTACACTCCTGAAACCAAAGAATAGTCTAAATAGTGGATTGGACCAGGGGAACCAACTCCAAAGAAGCCAAAAACAATTTTTTCGGCGAACAAGGTTATGGCTACTCTTTTTTGGGATGTAAGAGGTATTATATACATTGATTACCTTGAAAAGGGTAAAACTATCACTGATCAATACTACGCAGACTTATTGCATCGTTTGAGCCAAGAGGTGAAAATTAAACGACCTTATCTGGCGAAGAAAAGAATCTTGTTTCATCACGATAACGCACCAGCGCACAAGTCAATCGTTGCGATGGCTAAAATCAACGATCTGAAGTTTGAATTGATGCCGCACCCTCCCTACTCTCCAGACCAGCCCCGAGTGACTATTATCTATTTCCTAACCTCATAAAATGGCTTGGCGGTAAGAGATTTGCGGATAATAAAGAAGTAATCGAAGCTGTAAATGGGTATTTTGAGGAGCTTGACGAATCAGTCTATAGAGATGGCATTACTAGACTAGAACACCGCTATGAGAAATGTATTAGCCTTGGAGGAGATTATGTTGAGAAATAAAAAAAAAATTCTTAAAAACGTTGTTTTTCTTGGTCAGGCCGGAAACTTATCAATCCACCCTCGTATACTTCAGATAGTCTTTCAGTAACTTGCCACAGCAGGGCTTAGGAATTCAGTTGCCGAACGGTGGTAAGACAAACCAAGGGAAAAAGTATGATGCCACAAATACTTACCGAATACGCCTTCAATATAAATAGTGTCTTAGGGTAAATTTGATTAACTTACTTGAAAACTCGTAAATTTCTAAAATCAATACACTTTTGATCTACGTATGTTTGTGACGTTCTTTTGCATATTGAATATTTAAAATTTAACTGTACTACTGTAATTTATAAATACAAAGAGCTTCCAAAATTTGTAAATGAATAGTAACAATATTCTCTCATAATCTGGAATACGTAGACACAAAACATTCTTATAATGTAATTTTCCTTCATTCTTTTTATTATGTTTGAGAACGTTTTATTTTTTGGAGCTCCGATAGAATATGTTATAAAAAAGATACCATATTTGTAGGAATTTAATATTATGAAGTGAAGCGCATTTGATTATTTCGTAACATTCAAATGAAATTAAATTATATTAGTAATAACTAATAAATATCAAGGTAGAAAGAATAAAATTTCTTTGATAGCTGTTCTTTTCTGTCATAGTTTAATCTTAATTGAAGCTCTGCTCGATCAATGAAGGCAATACAAAAGGAAAATCACTTTTGATGTTTCGTTAACCTTTTCAGAAAAAAACAACAGCCCCTTCAGAGAAAAGAATAACATCAATTGTCGTAAGAACAAACGCATGTTACCAAATCAATTCTTTTCTTATTGCCTCTACCGATCGAGCACAGCTTCAACTCAACTAAAAGAAGAATTAAGAGTAACCTCTCAAAAAGATTTCAAGTTTAAAACCTATATTATTCACATACACCAATTTTTCTCGATTTCCGAGTTCTATAGAATAGTAATTAAACTACATGTTTGTAAATATAATAGAAGTAAAAAGAAGATATACTAGCTAAGTTACAAATTACGTCCAGGAGTAATTAGATCATCATCGGGAATATTTCTGTATCTTTAATATTTAGTAAGTTAGGTCACAAATGATATTTAGTTAATTATTAGACCGTATAGAATAAATATAAATCGTACACTAATTAAATCGCTCTTTTTAAATTAAATGTTATAAAAAGTTTTATATTTATTTAAAAGTAGCTAATTATCAACTTTCATCACTAATATAACCATAATCTTCTATACTTGAACATTTATTTTTCTTCCACTTTAAGTTATAAGAATAATTTATTTCTACATTATTACCATAAAATAAAGAGGATATTGTTTTACACTAACTAGCATTAATGACAAATTTCTAAAATATTTTGCAGTAATATTTTGAATACGGATGTAACTTTACCAATTATTAAGTACTTAATTCCCATTTGAAATTTATCAATGACATTTACATAATAACATAATCAGGTTTATCACAAATGATGACTAAATGTTTGCTATATTTGAGTCTATTCAAATATTTCGAATACTAAAAGATAAGGTTGTAGCGGTTTCGTAGAAAAAGAAAGATTAAAATTATACTTACTGGGCTATGATTTCCCAAATTTTTCGTGTTCGTAAGATCATAAGAACAGTAAGAAGCATCAATATCATGCTGTACTCTTGGGCTAGAGGATTCTCCAGGAGCGGTTTCCGACGTGGTCATCACTTTTAATTTTGCAAAAGTAGCACCGCTTGCCGACTTCCTTAGAGGTGGAGCTACATTCATAGTAGTTTTAGCTCGCTGCATTTCTGAGGCGGAACGTACACTTGCCATTAAAGCGTCGCCTTCGTTGTCTATCTGTTTTTGTGCTGTAGTAGTAGAAATCTGCGTTTCAATAGCCATCGTAGCCATTGAAACTGCACGCCGTTTTTTTGGTGATTCTAATGGCAATTAGAGAAAATTGAACGTGGTTAGTATTATATTTACGATTTGTTTTAAAAAAATGTATTAAAACAGTTTATGGTATGACTGTAACAGATTCATTACATTCAATTTTCTTACTTGTTTTATTATTAAAAGTACATCTTATTTTAAATATATTAACTAAAAATTAAAGAACTTTTAGTTGATAAAAGGATATCGAAATAATATAATGTTAAAAACCTTGAATTGTTGGTGCTGGTATTGTAATAGCTTGCTGTTCAATATGAAGTCTGGTATTATCCGTAATTGGTATGGTAGAGTTGCAATTTTTGTCTTTGCCATGATTACTAATTGTTGTATTGAATGGGATATTAGAACCTTCAATTCTCCGCGATCGATTTCTTCGACACATACTTTCATAATCCATTTGAGCCTGCATAAAAATGATTATTTTTAAAAGTAAACTAAGTAAAATAAAAATTATTGCAGCTAAGTAAAATAAAAATATATAATTTATGACGTACTTCAAGTTCTTTTTTATTATCTGGTTCAACGTTTTCTTGGTTGTTCGTGTCAATATTCGGTACCGTAGGAAGCTGATTAATAGTGGTTGCTGTTGTAATTGCTGGTGGAATAGTTACTGTTGGTAATGATTTTGTGGTTGGTAAACCCTCATTTGTTGCAATCGGTTTTTCCCAATCATACGGGTCACTTGATTGTATACCCCTTCGTTGTATGCATCTTTCAAATAATCCAGCTAACATTACATAGTCTGGTGGATCTGCATATTCTAAATTCTAAGTAAAATAATACATACACGTATTTAATAAAATTCTGTAAATTCTGTGATTGAAATATTTACTTACAAAGAGAAGGCATATCTCGCTGAAAACTAAACAATTTAAAATTAGTGAGGAGATTCTTCATTAGAAAATAATAGGCACATATTTTAGTGTTTTGCCATACACAAAGCGATTCAAAAACATTAAAGGAAATAGGTATTACCGGATTCGTCTTGAAAAGTTATTTAAGATGCAATTATAATTTTTTCCGATAACTAAGTAATTACATAATTAGCTTCAAAGATCGATACAATCAACGTGTAACTTCGGAAGTATGTGCGCTTGGAGGTGAGCGAGAAGCGATAAAAAGGGAGCCACAGCTGGACAAAATCGGTGATCGACCTTCATGCGTGTCATAACTTAACCATACCAAAGAATTGATATGCGTTTTTATATTATTAGAAGCAAGATCGATTAACGAAATTAATAAATGCATTTTGATTTCGTATTCATGATTGAGAGGCTCAACTTTTCCAAAACATAACTTGTCGATAATATATTTTCCAATGTTGGAAATTCAAAAAAATAAAATTTGCCGTCATGCACTAAATAATAATTGCTATGTTTTTTACAGTTTTCATATTGTAGGAACATGTCAACTTTACTTTTTCAGTTGCTTTTTCAGTTATTTTTTCGGTCACATTTTCAGGTACTTTTTCGGTAACTTTTTCGATACTTTTTTGTTATTGTATCGGTTAATTTTCCGGTTGCTTTTCCGTTACTTTTTCAATTACATTTTGGTTGCTATTTTAGTTACTTTTTCTATTACTTTTTCGGATACTTTGAAAAAAGTCAATTAAAAAAACTAATTATACCAAATCCTGCATTCATATGATGCATACGAAATCAATATGGATTTATTCATTTTATTAATCAATCTTGTTTCTAATAATATAAAAACGCACATCAATTCTTCTCATAACACGCATGAACGTCGAGCACCGATTTTATCTCTGTGGCTCGCACATATCAACCCTTCTCACCACTCCCCGCTCGCCACCGAACGCACATACTTCCACAATCACGCACTGATTGGTCAATCTTTGAAGTTAATTGTCTAATTACTTAATTATCAGAAAAAAATAATAATAATTGCATCTTAAATAACTTTTCAAGACGAATCCGATAATACCTATTTCTTTTAATGTTTTTTAATCGCCCTGTATATGTCATCGAAAAAAATGAGACGAGAAAAGAATTTTACAAACAGAAATTGCTTAACAGTTTTTTTTTGACATTTCAGGGCTCGTTTTGAAGCTTCTTCCTTTCATTTTGAAATGATATATATAATAATATTTTATTAGAGTTATCAAATTGTGATAGAAAGAGATTTTTCAAATCATTTAAAATCATCTTTTGCAGATCTAATTTTGCAGATTCAATAGTTGATTGGAGAAACTAAATAAAATCAAAATATTTCTTGAAAGAACGATAACTCAAGCTAAATACAGTTAAATTAGTTGTATGGAGGTTCAAATTAAAGGGTAAAATAGGTTTGAAATAAGTTCTCATAGGTTGATAAAATTGTTTACAATCGAAAGTTAGAGCTATTTACGAAAGTAGATGTAGTTTTTACAGAAATCGAAAAATGATATTATTAATACAATATTTTGAGTTAAATATCATGAACTTAATAATATGAGGGCTTGTTTTAGAAAATAAAAAAACAGCTTCAAAATGAGTCTAACTCAAAATATTCATGAATTTTTTTCCTCAGATCACAAGGTTTATGAAACTGTACACCGAAACATTTATCTATTATTTTACAATTTTTTATCCACTCACTAATTTTTAGCTTATTTATTTTCATAAGATATTAGCACTTCATTTGTAAGTAAAAAGTAATTCAACAAACTTGAATACTATTTTTTTTGGCTGTAGCAAAATAAGCAAATTTTCAAAAACAAGTTATAAATAGTACTTAATTACATCACTATTTGGACATGAAATAAATAATATCTACTGTTATAACCATTTTAAACATAATCATATATGAATATATTTATGAGCAGTTGCACGTTAAGTCACCGGATTGCTTTTGCAATTTTTCTTCGTGTATTGATTTTATTCTATTCATAATATACGTGTGAATTTTGATGTTTTAAAACTCAAAATTGACCTTTTTGTAGGATTTTGAAGATTACGTTTTTTCAACTTTTAAGAATCCTATATTTAAACATTTTCTTGATCACAAAGGACTTATTATAGGGGTAGACACATAACCACATACCGTCACGCGAACGCGCTTAAAAGAACAGATGCGATGAATCACTTTCACTTCAACGAGCTAGAAAACTATGCTACAAATGTCACTAACTCATTAAAACAGGTATAAGGAGACGGCAACAATGAAGGAAGAAAACGATGAACTCAGGTATAAATATAGTATAAATAGGTATAATACAGATAAGTTTAGCCCCACAGAGGGTTTGAGATAGAGAAGTTGGAACAAGAGATCCTGGACTCTACAATAAAGAATGCTGACAATAAACCAGCCAAACCAATGAATATTCATAAGTCAGTATTATTAGTCATGTTGTTCCAGTGTAACTAGCTCATTGAGCAGTTTCAACATTGATGCCCCGCCCCATCTCTTCGTCTTTTATTATGCCTGACTTCGTCAAGCTGAGTTTGTGTACAGTTATTTCCAGCAAGTAGACGATTTTGCATATAATTAATGTACAAGTAAATTATTGTGCACAGTAACATAGCGTAAAAATTAATTTATCCCGAAACACTCTATGCAGAAAAGCAGAACACCTCCAAAAAGTCACTTAGACGCAACGATTCGTGTGTTCACTTCTATTTCATGAAAAATGCCAAAAGTCATTATTATAATAATCGGCTAAGTATCAGTCGGGAAAGAAATATTTTTGTAAACTCAGATATTAAATCATGTTCATACTTCTCAAGGTATTAAAAGTAACAAAAAATATTTTTGTATTCTTCAATAGTACTATTATATTATTTGGAAAATGAAACTGATAAAGGTTTAATTGTTCGAATTAATATAAGTTCAAATATTTATTTCGTATTATTATCAAAACAGTGATACTTTTTTCTAGCGAACAACATAATCCAAAATGATTCCATGATAAATTATTTAAATTTTTACTTACTACATGTTAAAGATAAATTCAGATTACTTGCTTCATAATAAAGGACCTACTATTCTGCCTGATAAATTTATAAGCTCGTAATAATTTTATTCACTTTCATTTTATAAAATGGAGTAACTGAAAAAAGATGAATGAAAGAAGTTTAAAATTTGCCATTAAATGTTACTCTGATTAAAATGACAAACAGCAGCCACATAGAAAACCGGAGAAAACTCAGAAAAAGCTATAAAACTATCTTTTTTTCCGAAAGCTAGAAATAAAATCATTTAAGCAAAAATCGTCAACGCAACGAAAATTCATGCTGATAGTGTTATCGAACATCAATTAAGCTTTGAAAGCAGACTGCATCTTAATTTATATACTGTATAACCGTCATATTACATAAGCTATTGTCAAAACTATGTTACAGAAGAAATGTTAAGAATTTTAACAAAAGGAAAAAGAGAAAGTAAAATGACTAGTAGAATTTGTATATACTTATGGTAATATAACTCATGACGTATTTTCTTTTTACGAGGAAAAATTAAACGAAAGACAATTTTACTATCAGAAATATATGAATATTTCAACCGAAAAATAGTAGTGGATAAAATCAATACTAATGACAAAATTTTAACTATTCGATCGTCTTTTATCAAAAGTAAATGAAGTAAAATAGCAAACAGTCAATCATATTTTTATTCAAATTCTGGTAAGTCAGACTTTGTCGCTTCATTTTAATTTACTATGGAATCAATTTTACATAAATTTCTCGATACTGAAAAAAAAATCACACTGAAGGAAATAACAGATAATTCGGAAGTAAATGTCCTGAAAAAAGTATTAGGCAAGAAGTAGCACCTACTATTAAAAATTAAATTACTAAAATTGCTAAAAAAGTAGATTATCCTCTTTCTGATGAAGTTATGTGATAAAATCTCTCGTTGCTACTATTTTCAAATATTGCATGGGCCAGTGAGGCGCTCTCGCTTATGGCAATCGTGGGGAGCAGGAGGGAGAAGGTCATAGAGTAACTAACGCAATAACTACATCGAATCAATTTTACCTTATTATTAATAACAAACATTAAACGCGTAATATGCACGAACACTACATTATACAAACTATTAACTATCTTATTTATTACCAAAATCGGAAGAAACAGCTTAACTTAATTACAAATGAATATTACGTGATTTTTCATACCAAACTATATATATATATATATATATATGTATGTCACTTTATTACAATGAAATTAACAATAACGCAGGAAAAATATACCTGGGAATTGCCCGACAAATGAATTCCTTGACAATTCGCCGGTCGCAACTAACACTAAAACAAATAAACTAAGCTAGGCGCAAACCTCGAGATAACCGGCACGTTATGCTTGGCTGCCTTACTTAAACGCACACACGTATTCACATTACTGGTGAGAGAGAAAGAGAGTACCGTTCAAGAGAGAGATTCATGGAACAAAGAAACTCAACCTTATTAGATACTGAGTCGCTGGGCACTTGGTGGAAAGCTGCTGTTGGCGAGGCTGCTGTCCTGGGAGAGCTACTGTTGGCGAGGCTGCTGTCCTGGGCTTCTGGCAAAGGGTCGCAAAGAACCGTCACCAGCAGAGTTGCCTGTTGCTGCAGGCGAAGTTGAGTGTCGTATTTCGGGCTCCTTCCACTCTCTCTTCTGTTAACTGCCCAAACTCAACAGCCTCCGGCACGCATTTTTTTCTCAGCGCTAATCTTCTCGCGGCTGCTCGCTTGAGCTCGCTTGCATCCCTACTTGACATATTTCTTAGGCGGCATGCGACGCGCCGCTTATTGGTCACGCGTCGCACGTCTGCCTAAACCTGCA